TGTTTGTTTCCTTCTGTGATCTTTCTTTTCTGTGTAAATCTCCATCTCAGCTCAGGGTCGTGTCAGATCTGCTGTATGTTCGTGGACTTGTGTGTTGTGTTGTTTTACGGAGCTGGTGGAGACTCTCTCCGATCTTTGATCTGGTTCACAACAGAACACATCATCAGCACAATTATTACTATTACTATTACTATTACTATTACTGTTACTGTTACTGTTACTATTACTGTTACTGTTACTGTTACTATTACTATTACTGTTACTGTTACATTACTGTTACTGTTACTATTACTATTACTGTTACTATTATTACTGTTACTGTTACTGTTACTGTTACTATTACTATTACTGTTACTGTTACTGTTACTATTACTATTACTATTACTGTTACTATTACTATTACTATTACTGTTACTATTACTATTACTATTACTGTTACTATTACTATTACTGTTACTGTTACTGTTACTATTACTGTTACTTACTGTTACTGTTACTATTACTATTACTGTTACTATTACTGTTATTACTGTTACTGTTACTGTTACTGTTACTGTTACTATTACTATTACTGTTACTATTATTACTGTACTATTACTGTTACTATTACTATTACTGTTACTATTACTGTTACTATTACTGTTACTGTTACTATTACTATTACTGTTACTATTACTGTTACTGTTACTATTACTATTATTACTGTTACTGTTACTATTACTATTACTATTACTGTTACTATTACTATTACTATTACTATTACTGTTACTGTTACTATTACTATTACTGTTACTGTTACTATTACTGTTACTGTTACTATTACTGTTACTGTTACTATTACTGTTACTGTTACTGTTACTGTTACTATTACTATTACTGTTACTGTTACTGTTACTGTTACTGTTACTATTACTGTTACTGTTACTGTTACTATTACTATTACTATTACTGTTACTGTTACTGTTACTGTTACTATTACTATTACTATTACTGTTACTGTTACTGTTACTATTACTGTTACTGTTACTGTTACTGTTACTATTACTATTACTACTGTTACTATTACTATTACTGTTACTATTACTGTTACTATTACTATTACTATTACTGTTACTGTTACTGTTACTATTACTGTTACTATTACTATTACTATTACTCTTTGGTCCAGCCCAACACTGAAAAAACTCAAATCTAACCAAGTTAAGATCATTTGAATTAAGAAAGTTTGATCATGATTTGAGTAAATTTCACTCGATCAGTAAAATGATTTATCAGTGCAGCGAGACTTTTTGTACTTTAAATATGAAAATGCGTCTTGAAGAACAAATACTTTGTCTTTGGCCTTAAAATAAGAAACAAAACCTAATGTTTCTTAAATTAAGTAACAAAACTGAGTATTTGACCCAGCACCAGTAAAGACACAGTTTACCCAGGGCCCAGGGAGGGGCCCCTCACAAACTCTGACAGTATCCAGGAAACTGTGGCGTTTCCACACAGTGAGTGTTTCTCAAGTCCCAGGATCCTCCCTCCAAAGAGCAGAACAGACTTTGTGTCACTGCTCTGGACTCGGCTCCTCTGAAGCAGAGACCAGTGTCCTGCTCTCAGCTCCTGGAGGGCCCCGGGAACAGGCTCCAGAGGGAGTCACTGCTCCATGTCACATGACCAAATCAAACGCCATAAAACTCTGAGTTTTAATAAACATCAACACTTCTACAAATATGAAGTGTTCAGAGGTGTTTTTCTGTGTCACAGGCATTAAACATGTGAATAATAAAGGCTGAGTGAATCCTGGTAATGAATTATTTAGGCTGAGATCAGCCCAAATAAATAAATAAATAAATAAATAAATAAATAAATAAATAAATACACAGGCTGAAACTTTTTCAGATGATCAGATAATTGTATTCCCAATCCTCTTCTTTAAGAGATTCTGCTGCGTTTGCATCTGATAATAATGTGATCTGCAGCCGAGGATCCTCGCAACTGGGAAACACACATGGATCTATGAAAATAACACCCAGTATCCTGATTTACCAGCGCTGGTGCCGCACTGCGCATGCGCAAACTAATAGGAATACAGTAGAAGCAGCAACTTCTCCAAAACAACTCAAACTTCCACCAGGATTTTTCAAGTAATAATATTTTATACCTATTAACAAAATACAGCAGTGTTCTGTTTGATACAACCACATTTTAACAGCAGGTAAACTTCTGACTCTTAAACTGGTTTTGCCACAGTCTCATGTTCTTATTTGTATGTTTATATCTTCTGTCTTTCTTTGTTAGAAACACGGAGGAGCCTGGAGGAAACACTGCAGAACCTGATCGCACAATTTAGCTTCAAACTGCACAGGATTAGTTAAAGAAATAGAAAACGGCGCGTGAAGTATTCAGAACATAACAGTACTGTGATTGGCTCCTCTCATCACTGCGCACGGTTCATTATTAAACACGAGTTAATAATTACAGAAAATGACATGTAGGTTTATAAAGAGGGTTACACTGACCTGAGTCTCTTTAGCGCGCGGTCAAACAGACTGTGACTCGGTACATGTAGTGCTGTAGTGACGATGGTGTAAAAACGAAACTTAACTCCAAGATGTGAAAAACAAAACTGAACACCAGGGGGCGCGTTTGCCTCTCTCCTCTGCCCCGCCTGTTTTTCTTGGTGTTTTTGAGCTTTAAATCCACGTGTAGCTGAATAAATGTGAAGTAGAGCTGTTTAAAGTCACACTGTGGAACATTTCAGGCAGAGAAATGAGACACGGGACTTTTTCTTCAGTTTTTTTCTGTTGTTTTTAAAGTTTGAATGTTCTGTAGCATTTTAAGATTTATTTGTAAATGTAAAGTGCGTTATAAATAATAAAAAGCATTATTATTATTATTATTATTATTATTATTATTATTATTATTATTATTATGATAATAATAATAATAATATGTTTATTGTGTTTATTATTATTATTAATAATAATAATAATAATAATAATGTGTTTACTATTATGTTTATTATTATTATTATTATTATTATTATTAATAATGATAATAATAATGATAATATTAATAATAATGATAATAATATGTTTATTAAGATAAGATAAGATAAGATATGCCTTTATTAGTCCCACAGTGGGGAAATTCCAATGTTGCAACGCACAATTTCAGAACAGCAGGAAAAGGTAACACAGATAATAAATAATAGCTTAAAAATAATTTAAAAATAGACTTAAAAATAATTGCACATGGATATAATTAATGATAATAATGTGTTTACTATTATGTTTATTATTATTATTATTATTATTATTATTAATGATAATAATAATAATGATAATATTAATAATAATAATATGTTTATGTTTATTATTATTATTATTATTATTATGTTTATTATTATTATTATTATTATTATTATTATTATTGGACTCAAGTCAAATTTGCGTCACTATTTTTAGGACTTGAGACTTTGTTGACAAAATGGACAATAGTGAGAACCAGATTCACCCTGGATCTATTATAGTGAAGTTTTCAAATGATAAAGACAGACAGCTGGTTTGGAAGAATCGAAAAGAATCGAGGAAGACTGCTCCGGGAGTGTATATTCAGGAGGACTTTTCAGAGGAGGTTAGACAAAAAAAAGAAGGGAACTTCTACCTAAACTAAGAGAAGCTCGTGGAAAAGAAAACATAGCCTATTTGGTGTGTGATCGTTTGGTCTCACATGCTCCCAGGGACAAAACAAATCACACATCACATCTTCATCTACACCTGTGAACAGCACCAACGAGTAAGAGGAGTGACGATTATGTGTGAGGTACTTTTACTTTTCAGTCTGGGTCAA